TTTCATTTCCTTCCACCCCTACATGTGCAGGTACCCAGAGAAACACAACTACCAATCCCATCAGGGGATTGTCTTGACCAGGACCACACCCCTAAATGCATTGAAGCAACTGCCATGTGATTGGTTGATTAGATAATTGCATTAATGAGAAATTGAACGGGTGTTCCTAATAATCCTTTAGGTGAGTGTATATGTCAAATAACAAAACTACATGTGTTACACTGATCTATGCCCCATATCTGAAGCAGCATTGTTCTCCTGTTAAAAACCTTGAGCAAAATGTAGGTCACTTGATATGGTAATAAAATTATATAATAAAAAACTACTTGCGTTTGTGCTAGACACTCAGTTTATTAGTTTGATATTTTGCATGAATATGTCCTGTGACTGAAGTTTTATTTTCAGTTTGAAATTATTGCAGGTTAATTGCACCCCCAGTGCCCGATTTTTATAAAAATATGGAATCGGTTAATGAAAAATGCACTTTAAAAAATTGCCTGTATCTGCATTTTTATGCTTTTGGAGATTCACATTTACATTTAATTTTTCCTATAGATGAATGAATGGGTGAGAGAGTCGAGTTAAAGTGTCTTTCACGGTTCAGGAGGGGTTTTTGTTAATGAAATCGGGGTCATGGTTTACGTTAGAGGTTACAGGAGTACATGGGAAAGTGAGGCTTTACTAACTCATCTCTCTTCCCCGTTTGACTGTCCCTGTGCAAAAATCAGAGGGCAAATCAATCTTAGCAGTCAGCCTGGAGGGATTAATGGGCGAGAAGTGTGTCCCCCATTGCCACCTGCCTACCCCTCCGCGCTCCTGGTGGGTGCTGAGTTGATAGAAAAATAGAAAATGTGAAAAATTGAGAGGAGCGGCCGATGGAGCATATGGATGAGGAACTCGCTGCAGGCTGTCAGGGCCCAGCTTAAAAATAAACTCTCTAGCCTTTTAACTGCATTTTCGTCTTTGCCTCACATCCCTTGGCCTACAGATAATTAGCTTTGCCCTCACATCATATTAAAACCAAAAATACCCCCATGCCCCCCACCTCCCCGTAATCTCCCCTTCCTGTTGCAAGAGGGTGGATGGGAATCGGTGGCAGCGGGCTGATGGCTAGAACAAATGAGTGGGTGTTGGAAAATGAGAACCTCCTCTTTGGATTGTGTGCAGTAGATGCTGGAGAATGTGACAGGTCCCTCGGGAATAAGCGATATCAGTGATTAAGTGGAGAAAAAATCTTGTAACCTTGTCATACCAGATCTTGCCCCTGAGCATGGGGATATCGGTAGGTACTAAAATCAAAGTCATTTTACGTATACAACAGGGATACCACAAGCTGACATTTTCAAATGCTTGTAAATCACTGTTTGTTGCCTCATTTTTGCAGGGCAAGATTAGCTTTTTAAAACAATATAGCAGAGCAATTAAATCAAGCATATTTATGTTGTATATACTTACACCACAACAATGACCCTTTGCGGCCCCAGTAAATGTGAAGTTAATTTTTATTTAGAAAAGTTACAGTTTGGAAATAAAAGTTTTAATCCTCGAAACATAGACTAGTCTTTTGGGACACTTTGATTTACATACATTACTGTAAACACTGCCTGTTGTAATATATTACATTTTGGTCCTATGTGTATCAGAAATAATGAGTCTAGGAAGGAAAAATATTTGGCAAACAGGGAGAGAGATGATCCAGCTTAATGTACTCTTAGAAGGAAGAGCACTCTAGCCACAAGGCATGATAGTCAGTAATCCAACGTCATATCAGTTTGTGCACTCAAAAATTTAATAGGTCTAGTTACATTTTGCAAAAAGCTGGTGATTGTCTGCCAAATTACTGTAATTAGTTTGACTATTTAATGGTAGTATTTAGGGTTATCTCGTGGATTATTTAATGAGTATTTATAATTCTGATGTATTTCGCATAAAACTCATGTTGAAACTTAAAAAGAGCAATACCTTTACAATACAATTTCTGTTAATAAAAGCAAAAGCGAAATTACCAACAATCAAAGTAATTAATGTAAAAGCCCTAAGCGAATCATCCTAGCAAACCCGTAATAGACTGGCTACATTCTCAGGAATGGGCCTCAATATTTTTAGCACTGATGAAAGAACGCGCAGTTCAAACGCATTCCTCTTAACATGTTAATCTCCAACTTGAAGGGAGTTTAAATCTTCTTTTCACAGTGAAAATGGCATTTCATCAGTTTTCTACATCCCTGTCTAGCAATGTCCTCTGGGGCAGGTAGGGACGATGGTCACAGCATTGTCAGCTATTTCTGACATCACTGAAAATATATAAATTAAATAAAAAGAAAGACTGACCTTTTAAAGTTGCCCCAGATACCCTTATTTTTTATTTATTTTTTTACTTGTCAAGCTGCGAGTGGATTAATGCCAGTGTTTGAACATGACCTCTGTAATTCCACGTCTGTAAACAGCTTAGTGAAGATCAACTTACTCTGAATTCGCATGACACCTGCTGGGGAACTGATTACAGTTTGCTATTTTGCTAAATAATATTCAGCTGCATGTACATGAGACTCCTGCTACTAGGTCCTGTGTATTCCTAGTATATAATCCTTATACTGGTCTGTATATTCAGCAATTAGACAGAAACATAATATAATACTGTCCCAATGTGACAATGTTAGGATGATTAGTTAATTAATTAATCATTAATGCATAATATTATGATAAAATATTACGATAAAAACAATATTCTCATTATAAAAAAATTCTTAAGTAGCATTAATACTTGATGTGACTAGGATTTTACAGACTTTGATTAGCCCTCTCTGAGGGTAAATACTATGCTATAAACTGACACTGGGATTACTCAAATTTTTTTTTTTGTTTAAAATAAAAATAAAACATTAAATAGTTGAGCATATATTTTATTTCTTAAAAGGAATACAGTTCACTGTTAATTACAGTATATCTACAAGCAGGGTTTCCAGTTTACTAAAACTCTTGACAGATAACGAAAACTACTTTGAGCTAAGAGGTTATTATAATCTAATCATGTAAAATACCTAACTGCCACAGAGCGAAATTGTTTCAGCTGCCTTATCTTGAAAGCCAGCTGCTTGAAATTTGTTCTGAGCTAATTTTAGTCATGCGTTTTCTAAATTAACCATTATGGAGTGTGAAATCTACCCCATAGTTCTCTCCCTGGGAAACCTTTAGCAGTAACTGTCATCGTAACTTTGCTTCCCAGCTGAAGTGAGACGTTGCCGTCACACATGAGTGACAGGAAGAGGAAATGACCAGGGCCCCGAAGGGACACTCAGATTGATTTCCTTTGGGCTTCAGCCTTGCATCATTATTCTGCTGCTCTAAAGCGCTGTGGCGATTAGCATTACAAATTGTCCATCTAGAACCTGATCCCGCAGTAATTGTTAGGTTAGGGTACTGCTCTTGCGGGCCGTACTTTCACTAGCTGATCGGTATCCTCTTGTATGTCATTTCACTAAATAGCTGAATATCTCGCTGGTTTCTCCCAGTCATTTTGCTCTGTCATTTTCTTAAGGGCACCTAGTACATTCAGGTGCTGTAAAAAAAGGCAACAGCATTATTAATAAATGACAGGGGAGATCTCTCTGTGCAGATATGAAGCTTCCTAAATCACTTTCAAACCTTTTCAAATCCAGCCCAAGTCAAACTGTGGCCTTTACACCTCAATAATGTAATTATTATTTATAAGAGACAGAATATTTCAAATTCACGTCTTAAAAAGGAAGCATTTATTCATTATAACATAGGACATACTTAATATCTAAATCCAACAGGAAACTATATTAAAGTATTACAGTATAATGTAAATAAAAATGATTTAAATGTCACATTCTACAGAATAACTGCTGAAGTACACCTTGTGTTATTGTTGCAATACCTGGTTGCTGGAAATACTGTTCATAATCACAGAAATTTGTGGATGGTGAACCGTACACAGTGTGTAACTGTGAAGATAAGATAAGATAAGATTTTTCATTGTTACAGCAGCAAAATGGACAATACAAGAGGAGTAATAAAACAGCAATAAAAGACAATACAATATAACAATAAAAAGCTATAAAGACTGTGAAATGCAGGAGGGATGTTTCGGTGGAGGAGGGTCTCCTTTTACGCTGCCTATGGTCATGACAATAGACAATTAACAATTACAAAGAGAATAAATACACAAGAATAAAGACACAAAATACATAACGGAGAAGAGTAAATATCAGGTATGTAATAAATATGGTGGTTTGTGCAATGCTGAAAGTTTACCATGAAGAGAAAGGCTGGGAGCAACGGCTTAATGGGTTTTACTGGTTGCTCATTTAATCCCCCTCCAAGCTATTTAACCACAGGGGAAGAGAAACTGGTTTACACAGGCTTTAGGCTGTGTTTGGGAAGATGGTTCTCCCCTCTGATTGGATCAGTCAGTGGCTGCCATGTTAGCATTCCCCGTTTGTGCTTTCTGGGCTAGATGAGAAAGAGCTGTTTTTGTGGTTCACCCCCAAGGGCCCCAATAAGTAACATATATCATACCCTTTAGCAGAAGAAAAATTAATTACAGGAAGATGGTGGTCAAATATACTAGCATTACATGCATACAGTAATAACAAACTTAATAGCCAAACTCAATAGAAGCCCAATATTACAATAGTCCAGCCATGAAAACACTGATGCATATTTCCAGTTATTCAAAAATGAATATTGCTTACTTGGATGCAATAGCTTACTTAGATGAAACAGCTTACTTTTAGGGAGAGACGGGCTGACTTTAATGTGTTTTTCTATAAATTGCATCGATTTTGTTTCTGCAGATTGAATCGACATAACAGATTAATTCTGTCTAATATTACAACTTTCCGTAATATTTTCAAGGGTCTCCTCCTGTACCATGAGCTCCACCCTGCGACATTTGACGTTACAAAGCTACCGAGCCGGAAGTTTGAGGCCATGGATCATTATCCGAAATGCTTCCTGATTCTGAAGCTGAGGAGCAAGCCACTGGATGATTCTGCACAAGCAGATGGCGCCTCCCAGAGGGACTGGAGAGCAGTGCGTGTGGATCTGGTGGCCCCGCCTATCAGCCACTTCGCCTTTGCCCTGCTTGGCTGGACTGGGTCCAGGGTATGGATCTCAATTTCAAGTATTTAATTAAACCTTTTATTCCACATTGGGTATGTGAAAGAACAGCAGTGCAGTCAAATCCAGGAAGAGCATTCCCGCTTCCATATAATAATAAGATTTTTAAGTATACAACACCAACCATTATATTCAAAGCCATAATGCTTATATAGCAGAATGTGCATTCTGTGAAATTCTGGGATGAAGTGTAATTAGGGGAGAGAAGTCTTGAAAATTTCCTCAAAGTGGTGAATCTATTTCTCTACCCGAGTGGAGGAAATATCCAGTACCAGTCAAAACTCAGGACACACCTGCTTTTAATGCATTTGTCTCTATTTTAGATATGTTATTTACCTAATAGTAAAAAGCCTCGAGGAAATGAAGTCTAATATCTCACAATTTTCCTGGATCTCTTCAAAATAGACCCCTTTTGCTTCGATGACAGCATTGCAGACTCTTGGCATTCTTTCAGCCAGCTTCCAGATGTAGCCACCTGGAATGCTTCTCCAACAGTCCTGGAGGACTTTCCACTAGTTCAGCTACTTTGCTCTAACTCCATGATCCAACTCATCCCAAATCATCTGCATTGGGTTTAGGTAGGGGGATTGTGTGTGTGTGTGTGTGTGTGTGGGGGGGGGGTGATCTTTTGCAGCGCTCCATCACAGGTTAATAATTACTATATAACCTTGAGGTGTGTTATGCTCGTAATTATTATTATTTTATTAGTAAAGTTGATTCTTGCAACTGATGTGACATTGTTCTTCAGTGTTATGGTACAGAGGTCAAGGCATGATTCATGTCTGGAAGATTTTGGTGAAGTAAGGAAAAGGAAAAGGGAAGGTCACAGAAAAGTCTGGAACACTCACAGGCATGAAAGCTAATAGCAATACACTGGTAAAGACTAGGTAGCCAAAAGGCACTAAGATTCTTTTGAAACAATTTTACTGTAAATATTTTATAGTAAAAGAGGAAATGAGTGGGTAAGGAAAAAGCAGAAGCAGTGAATTTCTTTGGTTAATCTGTGTTTAGCAGAAAAGACCACTTTTCGTAAGGATGTCTTTTATAGACAGCAAAATTATTGAATTAGTTCTTGAATTAACATTTCATGAAGACATTGGATGTGTCGGCAGGAAGTGTTCCCTGAAACCACAGGCTAGAGAAAGGCAGAGGTGGAAAGTTCAGAAAGTACAAATCCAGACCACAATTTTGTTTCAACCAGCCAGTTCAGCATAAAGAGTCACATTCAGAGACTATTCATCTGCTTGGTTGAAACAAAATCTTGGTCTGGATTTGTGAACCTGAACTTTCCACCTCAGGAGAAAGGTCATTCAGGGTGGGATGTCAATGAACAGAAAGCAGACAGGAAGACTTTAGATGAAAAGGGGATAGGCTAGAAGAATATATGATGGGCAATATTTTAGGTTGCTATGGAAAAAATAAGAATGGAAAACAATTGAAAAAAGATGGAGAACGAAAAGGGTGAGCCGTACAGGTGTTCAGAGATACTGAGAGGGAAAATCAGTCCAGGAAAATCAGTTATTTTAGGCACTGGGAAGGTGACACCGAAGGAAGACTAGACTAGATAAAGTTGTCTTTACCTCAGACTGACAATTCCAAGGACTCACTGAGTCAAGGATGCCCGTAGGGGAGAAGCACATGGGATAGCTGAGGCACTACGGATGTGACAGTCTTCAGTGACAAATGCATTATGCAAAGCATATACTAGAGTAGAGGTCACAAAGCACCAGGACCCACAAGATGGTTCGGTCCCGCCTGCCAGGGACGCCCACAGAATCCTCGTTCATGGTGCGCACACCAATGATGCTCAGGCTGATGGGGGCGCAGGTACAAGTCAAACTAAAATATTTTAATGATATTCAAGTAAATTGCGGTCAGTTAAAATAAAATTTAAGCATATAAAGTGAGTCGGGCATCATTTTATCTTTATTAATATTACTGTTCAAGCTGGGTTGAATTATAAACACACTTTATTTCTATTTTTAGGTCTACCATGGCGTATTATGGCATTGATAAAAATAAAATAATAGGCTAATGAATTTCGAGAATAAAGTCATAATATTTCGGGTGTAAGCTACAGTAATGTATAAATATTTCAAGATTTGAACTCAAAATAAGTTGAGAATAAAGTCGAAAGGGGACAACAGAACCTAAGTGACACAGTCACTACCAAGCCTGTATACCAGCACTGCGACACAGTCACCACCGATAGCCTGTAAACCAGCACTGCGACACAGTCACCACCGATAGCCTGTAAACCAGCACTGCGACACAGTCACCACCGATAGCCTGTAAACCAGCACTGCCTGCAACTTGACCTTCAATAAAAGTTTTAAGTCCTTCTAACCCTGTATGATTCTTCTGTCTACATAAATGAAGTTTCTTACACAAACTTTTCAGTGTCTTAATCCTAATGAATATTTGGTGCTGATGTGCCAGCAGATTCAGTATTTATCATTTATCATGTTTATTAATTATTTTCATTCAGGATACTGGGAATGTGTGGAATTTTTTGTACACCACGTTCTGTTGTGTTTTATACTTGTGTTTCGTATGTGTGAATTTCTCCGTTATGGTTTTTGCGGGTTGTAGGATACCCGCGGGCCAAGTTTGCCATTGTTCTGCAGTGATTTTACAGAAAAACAAGCCTAAAGTCACTTATAATAAGTGGACATGTCAACTGTGCCCATCTTATGCTACTGCTAGGGTACACAGTGTGTGTTTTTGGAATACAGATCACTAAGCTTGGTGAATTTCCTCAAGAGGAACTCGTGCTGCACAGATGACCTCCATTACTGGGCAGCTATATTTGTGCCAAGCCTTTATTCCATAATGTTACTGTTTATGCTGCTATTGAAATCAATGGGTGCAAATTGTCAATGAGCCTATTATTCACAACACAGCTAATTTGAAGCTAGAGGTTGTAAAGGTGATAGCAGTAACCATCGGATAAGTAATTTTATTTAAAGTAATACAAATGCTGAGGACTTTTAATAAATGTTCAGTGTCGTTTTTTGAATTCCCTAACAAGTAATGTAATTTAACAGTTGGGTAATAATCATGCTTCCTGATGGTTACTTTGGCCACAGTGCAAATTTTGTAGTCAATCTATTTCTAATTTAATTCAAGGTGAGCATGAGACTGGAAAGGTGATACTTGGTATAGTATTATATTCTATTTTTCCATCTTCCATCTGGCAAAGAGTCAAGAGGAACCTGAAGCCTGTTCCAGCCAGAACCGGGCCGAAGGCCTGGGAGCACAGTGGTTGGGATGCCAGTCTGTCACAGGGCCCACACATAAAAATGCACAGTGGGCAGTTTAGAGACACTAATTAACTGAATGCCCATGTAAAAGCCATTATGTCATCGATTTGGGTTTGACTATGCGTATTCCATACTTCCGGGTATTGGTTGGAATGCCATGACCTTAAGGCTTGTGTAGGGGGCAGAAGTTACTCAAACTACACTAGTGAGGGCCTCTATCTTCTGGATCTAACAGATAATAGTTTAGGTCTCTGGAGAGTGTCTGCTACATCCTATAGATGAGAACGCTTCTTATTAGACAACAGCTATATATTATAACGGTCTGGGAATAGTATTTTTGGATATGTTGGTACATTATTAATTTGCTCTACAGTTACCCATTTATAATGTGTCTTTGTACTAACTTCTCTCGTACCATTCGAAAAGGCACAGTGTGTTCGTCCCTCTGCATTGTTGCTAGGTGGTCCTAAATCTGTGGCTTTAAGGGATCAGCTTCATTTGCTTTATTACTTTTGTTAAACATTCTACAGCAACATTTTGATGAAAGACATTTTGACTGTTTCTAAAATATAACCAAAAGCAGTACAGAGTTTTGTTCAAAATTTTGTAGTTTACTCCAGAATTTTGTAGCATTGCAGATGGTATTGCTTTAGATAACAATAAGCAATTAATTTACCTGTGAAATATGCTTTTATTCAGTGATATGTGCTAATTCTGGAGCTACATTCAGTGAATTGTTTAGAAGAGCGGTGCAAATATGAAATAATGAAAAATTACTTGATACTGCTAAACGCATCTTTGTTTTAAATATGAAAATGATTGTCAGATGGAAAGAAATGCCAGCAATGTACATCACCCTGAGCATATTTTTTGTATAACAGAAACTCGATGGGAATATATGACCATTCAAAAGAAAAATCATAATGACAATAAAACTTTGTAGATCTTTTGGTAACACTTTCATTAAAGCACTCATGCGTAATGCATTATAGATACCTTCATATTGCGTTCATAAAGTATCCTTTAATGCACTGTAGATACTGCATGCATGATAATGGTCAGTATAATTATAAGCCATTATAATGAACCATGAAGGTATTTATGGTGCATTATACTGTAGATGAGAGCTTTGTAGAGCATTCATAATGCATAATAAGCATGGCTCTAATGTGATATGTCTTTTTATAAATAGATATAGCCATGTTTATGGTATTATACGAATGCATTATAATGCATTATGAGGGTATCTGTAATGTATCATGATGTCTGCTTTAAGTATAGTGTTACCGATCTTTGGTTCCCTCTGTCATATTTATAGTGATTTTGTATAATGTTTTGTACCTTTGTTAATATATTATGCAAAATAGACCTCACTGTCCTGAGTGGTTCTGTTTAATTTGTGTTCTTCCTTTAGCAGTTTGAACGAGACCTGAGAAGGTTTGCCCAGCATGAGCGGAAGATGTTACTGGACAACCACGCTCTGTATGACAAGACTAAGGTATGGCTGTTTGTCTACATGCACCACAGGGTCACTGTTTTCTAAAGGTCTCTTTAAGCATAGACACTAGATGGCAGAATGTTAAATGCTTTTATCAATCTTTTTTATTATTATTTTCAGTTGTTTTAGGATATGGCCGCTGTTAGCGCTGATCACTCGGGGCTGTAGCCCTGAGTATTTTAAGCTTGACTCCGAGTATTTCAGCCCCTGGGCCAATCTTCCATTAAAAAAAAAAGAGTCAAGCCACTGGTCATCTTGACTTAGTCACAGATTTTTTCAATAGCTAGAAACTGCCCTGCTTTAGGATATATCTGGGCAAAAACCCACCTGATTTCAAGGTCTTTTATAGTTATCTTAACACTTTATATAAGTAACACTTTAGATGTTCTGAAGATATTACGTAGAAATAATAGTAAAAGTGTCTATAGATCTATAGGGTAATACAGTAGTTGTCTTGAACTTGAGAGAAAAAGTATTGGTTGAATGTATGTCTGAGTTTACAGTCAAAATTACAACAAATGCTTAGATCTGAAACAATTAGGATGTCAGAAACAAACTCACCAGGGAAACCTAATTATCAAGAGATATGTCAGCCTGCAGAGACCTTAGAAATTAAATAACAAATATTAATACATTCTGGTTAATTACAAAACTATCTAAAAACTATCACATCATGAAAACTACACGTAATAATAATAAAGCTGACACATATTTACCTAATTTATCAGTATACATTTAATAATAATATGGAGGACATCAGTGTACTGTGACAAAGTCTTAGACCGCCAAGGAAAACTATGTTCATCTTTATTTACGTGCACATCCATGATTTCAGGTTTGTTAAAGTGCGTTAGCTTAGTCATTTCAAAAGTTGTCCAACAAGCAGCCTAGAATTTACATTGACCATCCAATATATGCACGTAATTCTATAAAATCGGTGGTGACTTTCCTCTGTGTGGGGGACCAGAGACGCGGTTTGGGAGTTGATGCAGTGTTTCAGTCACCCAGCAATGAGGCATCATTTTGAGAACCGAAGGAATTCTTGTTACATTTCAACTGTGTTACTGATTATGTGCATGTATTTTAATGTTAAGCTGTTTTTTTTTCTCTGAGCGGAGTACCCAGATAAATAGCATTTCACATTTTCTGTTGGGGAGTAAGATACATAAGATAATAATCAGACCATCATAAAAAGTATTAGCACTCGCACAAGACTGCAAGCAGCCTTTCAACAAAAATAGCGAAGTATAATGTTTCTTAGTTTAGCCAATGAATTGTTGACATTGTGTGTGTGTATGTATAAATACACTCACACAGACACACGCACACACACACACACACACACACTGTATATGTATATTATACCTTATTTGATTTACAGTTTTCATTCAAATCTATTTTTATCCATGTTAGCCATTTCATGTAATGATAATTTTGGTGATTTTCTATCTGCATCACGAGAGCTGACAGAGCCTGGCTGTCTGATTTGACATGTTATCAACCTTAACGTTTGTTATGCTCTGAGAGGCAGAATGTGGGAGATAATATGTCTTGTTGTTTGAGAGATGGCTGATAGAGGACAATATGTATGAGTGCCTGGAGCTGAAACTGAATCATTAGGACTGAATGTTAAACTTTAACGGCCACAAAGGTTGTCTAAAAGGAGAGGGTACCAATGAGTGATACTCAGACCATCTCTCTCTCTCTCTCTCTCTCTCTCTCGCTTGCTCTCTCTCTCTCTTATTATATATAGACACACGTTTGCTGCCACTGTTAGCTGATATATACTCTATTAAGTGTTTTGTCTTTCTGTATTTGCTATGGTGCTTAAACTTCTTTGATTTATATCATTTGTAGGACATTGCTGTTGTACCCTTGAACAAGACACTTTTAGAGGTATATTCCTATCAAAAGACAGCTTTACGACTTGTCGGTATAATGTAAAAGGGGCAATGATGTCTGCGCCAAAATACAACACAAATGACACAATACATTACTGGAGGACAGGGTGCCTTTCAGCTCATATGCATACATAAGAGTGGAAAATTTTAAGGCAGGGAATGAGGCCAGGGCACAGGGTGGGTCATATACTTTTTGGCAGAAGGTCAAGCTGTCAAAATATGTGTCCCTGCCATCCCTCCATGGAGCAGTTAGTGTCAGATCCCATAGCTCAATGTGTTGACAGTTGTCTGGCAGACGTTAAAAGCAAAATCCTTTTCTTCACAATATTTATTAAAATGCAAAGGCTGAAAGCCACTGCGTGACTGAACACAGCCCCAGTTTCGCATAAAAAACAGCCTCGTCGCAAGACCGAGATGGCGGCACATTTTGAACCTACTTGATATGCTTCACATCACCACTTTTCTAAACGCATTCTTATAATTTGTCGTACTCAAGATCAGCTAATTGCTTACAAGGTTATCCCGTGATATAATGCTTTAACATTACGCTCTATTAGGAAGCTTAGATTCATGATAAGAGTTTTAATTAACATAATGAAGATCAATTAAGTGTCTCAGCCAGAGGGACACTGCTTCAGAAAGTTCTCCGCCTTTTCAGGCCAAGATAAGTGGACCCGTTTGTAGCCGCACGTTAGCGGTAGAAATGAATTCATTGAATGAATTTGGGTCCAGCAGCTAAAACCATAATTTTTTTAGAACCTTTAAACTGCTAACCTTACTTAAAAAAAAAAATTCTGGAAAAAGAAAATGATTTCAAAAAGATTTCAATTATTCATTTAAGATAAATATCAGAGACGTAGTAGTAAAAATATAAATGGCTTAGTGGTTTTTAGTGAACAATATTCTCGTTTTTGTAATGGTATGCAATAAGCATAGTAGCCCTCCAAATTTAAGCCTTTGTCCCTCCTCCCTGATTTTTAAATACGGAGATAAACTTTAGTAAGCATGTCCTCTGCTGTACATCTCAAGGTGTGACATAATTAATATGGTGTGGGGTGATGTATGAGGAACAGGGGCATACTCACTATGTGACAGACAGGCCCCTCCCAGATCAGAAGTCTTCCTGGACCTGTGCAACTCCTGAAATTCAGCCAGGAAAAAAAAAAATCCTTTGCTGTTACCCTTCAAAATGTGTGTGCGCGGTTTTGTGCTTACACGTTTGACTAAACCTGTGGGGGTATTTTCGTTGTAATACTGAAAAAGAGGCATCACCAGAGGCCAAAATATTGTTTGATTTTAAAGACTTCTATATATTTACATGTTTTGGAGTTTTGCTGTGGATTGGATATTGGATTATTGTAATGTGATGGCAAAGTGGAGATATGTATGTACGAGTGTGTGGCATTCAGCAGGGGCTCTAAGCAAAGTACAGCATAATGATTAATGATGCCTTTGCATAAGTGCAGCTCTGAGACCTTGCAGCAACTGTATCTTTGAAAGAATTAATATTCTCTCACCTGCAGTGTAACCTCTTATTCATTGGAGTTCTCCACCCCAGCGGATGCTCTTAATCAATGGAGGCATGACTTTTTGGGGCAAAATCTGGAGGAACAATTTCATTCAAGTTAAAAACACAATTCACCCCAAAAAAATCATGCTATGAATTCAATTTCATAAGCTTTCTGATAAAGTACATTCTTTTGCCTTATTGAAGTACTAAAGTTACTTTAATTGCTCAGCCAAGAGATTTGTCTTTGCTGGGTCATAGATCCCAATTAATCAGAGATGTTAAGTGTATCGATAAGGTGTACTGTAATTTCCGTGGAAGCTACACTTCTAAACTCAATATGAGTCGAATATAGCTTTCAGAATTCTTGTAAGTGTTAAAAGGTTTAAATGACATTCCTCCAGAGTGCTGCCATTGCTTATATGGTTCTTGATTTATTGTCACATGTGATCACAGTTGTGGGGGAGGGGCAGGTGCAGGGGCATACCTGTAATAGGACTTTCAGTTACTTTCTTATCTGAATTGAACTTCAATGGGGAGTTAAACCATCAACATGACACAGGTTTTTCTGATCAAACAAAAATGTAGCCATCTAAATGTCTGGAGATCTAACAGAACTATTTATTATTCAGCATTTGCGAGAAGAACTGCTCTGAACATAATTATAAACACAATGTAAGACAAAAATAGGCTACTGAAAATTTTTGGTGCTGTGTTTTCTATTGAGACTGCATAGAAAGGAACTTTCAGAGTAACTCCAGTCAATAAGACTAGACTGTATTGCAGAGAATGAAACAAAGACATACAACTTTGAAACTCTGACAAACAATGTGAAAACAAGCTGTTTAACAAAATTGGCTTTAAAAGGATGTTAAATGCAAGCACGCTGTAAATATCTTATATGGAATACATGTAATTTTTTTTTCTTTTTCTTGAATTAGCCAATCAAATGAAACTTGAAAAGGGCAGCAGGTAATGCTAATCATCGCAGAAATGGTACATTCCAGGCCTGAAACCACAAGCAGAATGTTCTTGATTCGTCTTGCTTACACACACAGCAGGAGATTCTCAAAACACCTGGCTTCAATGCATGCTGTACTGAAGCTCGAATGGGTGGGCAATGGCAGTGCAATCATCAAGGGTATTGTGGGACTCCAATTCTAATTTCCCCCCAGCTGGCAGTGATGAGGTGCATTTGAGCAGCGTTATGTACAAAAAGGAGGAACTGAGGTAAATTGCAAACTGATCATACTGGCACATTTGCTTTGTGTACCTGTGGTGTACCAATGGCAGCAAAGTGAATGAATATTTAATGTTGTCTGTGAAATATACTGTTGTTTAAAATGCCTTCAAGCTGGATTTTTTACTTGATGATGGTTTTGAGTAAATAAAAAACGCATAATTTAATGCAATTACATGGTAGCAGGTTTTTGTTCTCCGAATGTTATGCCCATAATGTATGAGTGAATGTTTGTGTGAAATTATTGCACTAAAATACTGTCATGTTTTAGGAGTGCCTGGCCTTATTCTGTATTACTGGAGTTTTATTGAAAAGGTTAATTGCAAATGGTTGTATGCATGGATATATGCAT